GTTTCTCTGTCGCCGCATGCGCTTTTCGTATGGCCAATTCTTTGTTGAAGTTTCTGTTCTCTCTTCCTTGCTGTGGGTGTGTTCGTCTATTGCTGTTTGTTTAATGACATTTTTTCGACACCGGTCGTGGAGAGCGCCGAGCTTTCTTTTTTTTGTCTGTCTTGTGTCTCTGTCGGTCTCTTTGGCTCTCGCTTTATTAGCTCATCGTTTGAGTGTTTGTGTCCTTTGTATTGAGATCTTGCTTCGGCGTGAAGACCTCGTTGTAGTAAATCTCTTCAAACGAACTCTTTCCACACTGGTCGACCTTTTAACCTCTGCTCAGGAGTCGGAGGTTGGTCACATCTGTGTGTGTCTTCGCGTTTGCTGCTTTTCGTGTCCAATTTGTCTTGTGCCTCAGGGCATAGTTGTACTACTCGCCATCCGCCCAGATTTTAAAATGCACCTAGACAAAACGGCTGTGCAGATGCATTTGGAATCTTGTCGGATAGTTGTACTACTCGGCATCAGCCAGGATTTTTGAATGCACCTAGACAAATCAGCTGTGCAGATGCATTTGGAATCTTGTCGGATGGCGAGTAGTGCTACTAGGCCTCGTTCTCGTGTCGAAGTGTTATATTCAACGAATGTTGGGCCACTTTTCTTCATTTCTCTCTTTTTTTTTTTTTTTTGTCGCACAGCATAGCCTGGCGGCGTGGCGTGTTTTTTGGTTAGAAATGCGCACGTAACTGCTGGCTTCGCTCCACTACACAACACTCTACATGCATCTGGACGATTGCTGGACCTAATACGTTAACAATGTTGGACTTATCCGAAAGCGTCCAAATGCATGTAGAGTGTTGTGTAGTGGAGCGAGGCCTTGAGTATTGTGCATGCGTTTTTTTTTTTTTTTTTGGGAGAGAGTTTGTGAAGCATGTGCGGAAAGCAGTGTTGGCCGCTGTTTGTCACTTATTCTTCGTCACTGCATAGCGTGGCGGCGGGCTTTTTGGACTCGTTTCAGTGGTTTGCTTTGATGAACTTAGTTTTTGGAGTGGATGATGACTGATGATGAACGTAGTTTTTGGAGTGGATGATGACTGACGTGTCTGTCGTGGGATGACTGACGTGTCTCTCGTATGTGGAACCCTGTCTTTGATGTGCTAGGTGATAAAAGACAAGAAGTGGAGAGATATCACCCTTCCATTCAATTTCCCTCACACGTGCACAAGTGCCTCTTTCACTCTAAGGAAGTGCTATATCAAACTGCTACATCATTTTGAGCAGGTCTACATGTTCGGTGCACGCGGGAAGCCGGTTCCTCCTCCCGGTAGGTCGTGAATCTCTTAATTACTTGCTTTGGTATGTCGGCGGCTTTGGCTACGTGTCCATAGGTGGGGTCTGTTTTAGGGAGGGGGGGGAGGGGGTCCTGTGCCGTCCCATTGCATTGTATCACCTTCCTTTTGGAGTTTTTGGTCGTCTTTGGCTTCTTTGCTGTTTGACAAGTTCCGTTGTGTCCTAACGGAACGGAATGAACTTAGCGCATACTCACACTACCGGTAGCAGTTTTTTAAATGTATCTGACCAGAATTATGGCCAGACATGGATGAATCTGACGGCAATCACGTCCAGAGCTTGGGAGGAAAAATCCTAGTGCGAGTATGCCCTGAGATGTAGTGTTCGTGTTCGTTTTTTCTGTTTCTAAGGGCATACACGACTACGTTTTTACATATTTCTGGACGGAACTCTGGCCAGAGTCAAGGTATGGCGTGAATGCGGTCAGATACATTTGACATACTGCTAGTGTGAGTACGTCCTAAGGTGGGTCATTTCTCGGGTGATGCGTGCATGAAAGACACCTGGATTGGCGGAGGGACCCAATCTTTTTTTTTTTTCTTTTTCTTTTCGTTGGACCCCACTTTGCGCAGTGCGCCCTTCATCTTCTCTGTCCCGTTTCAATTCAACTGCTCTTTAAATCGCACCGAGGCAAATTTTAAAGGGTGAAATAACGCCCCTAGCGGTAGGAATGGGCGGGTAGGGTTTTACGTGTGCACGCGGGGTAGGCTATATATCCTTCTTCCTCTGCCGGTTTCTTGGCATGTCAGTTCCCACTGTCTTGGGATTTTCGGGCCTACCAACTGGCCTACTTTCTTCCCCCGAATACAACAACGTACGGTCATTATAGCTGCATTGTAGCCATCTTTCAGTCTAGATGCAGCTATACGTTGTATTCGGGGGCAAAAGACGGTAGCTCAGTGGAAGCCATCATAAGGCAAAAAAAAAAAAAAAAAAAAAAAAAAACCCTACTATTTTGAATCGCTTAGGGCCTCGCTCCGGTACTCTTGAGGTGTCCATAACGAGAGTGAATCTTCCGCTAGAATATGGAAAGATACACCGACATGAGTTTTGTCGTTTGTGCATGTCGAGAGTAGTGGAGCGAGGCCCTTAGCCTCGGTCGGTTCGAAGATGATATCGCAAGGCCGTCAGGCCTTTTTTCTTTTTTTTTCTATTTCTTTTTTTTTTAAACTTATCAGGCCTTGGCGAGGCACGGTTCTTGATCTCTCAGCTCTCCGTTCCGTTGGCAGGTGTGTACCATTCAGGCAAAGGGCGGCTATACGAAGGAACGGTTTCGCTTCTTTTTATTTTCTTATTTTCTCTCCTTCGGTGTGTCTCGCGCTGTGCGTGTCAGCCTTTGACAGGGGCCTGTCGGCCCGATTTTAACGGATGCCCTGGACGGACGGTTTTGCTGGTTCTTGTTCGGTCTTGAAAACGTCTGTTTCTTTTTGTTTTTTTTTATGTCTGTTTCTTGCTGGTCAGTTCAGGGGAACGGGAACGGGAACGGGGGCCAAGTCCCACTAGCAGCGTTAAGCTACCTCAAAGCCCGAATCTGGACGTGTTTGTGGAGACGCGCAGTTCAGGAAACTCAACACCACTTCTGCACATCTCCGCAAAAGCGTCCACGTTCAGGCGTTGAGGTAGCGCAACGCTGCTAGTGGTACTTGGCCCCCGGAGAACTCACGGTTTTCTTTTTTTGTTTTCCAATTCCGGGATCGGCCTGTCCGGGATTTTCGCACGGGTTTGCAAGCGATTGCGTGTGCTTTCTTGTTCGCCGATCATCTGATGGCGAGTCTGGCTACCGGTAGGTTAGCGTGAACCTGCTTGATTATATGGTCATGGTCAGGTCCATGAGAAGGGTAAAAAAATAAAAGTTGTAGCTCAGATGTATTTTACCAGCAGGGCGTGCTTACGGACCCGCTGCCTTGTTTTGCAACAGCGTTCCACTAGCGAGTGACATTTTTTCAACGTGGCCAGTGTGGCCGTGAGATGTTCAGATCGGATGGCAGTAACCGATGCGTGCTCGAGACGAAGTTGAAATCCTTGCTACCGGTAGCGGGACGTTTAGCACTGGCGGCCCTGCCCCACTACCGGTAGCCGGGGGCTCCGTTTGTGTTTGTAGTGTTTTTTGCTCGGCTTCTACGTAGTCCCGGATTAAACCGGAGGGTTAGTCGCATTAGAGGGGGTTGAGTCCTCCTTTCGAGTGTATCTCAACGTAACGTGGCCATAGTGTGCCCGTGAGATGTTCAGATCGGATGGCAGGAACCGGCCCGTGCTCAAAACCGAGGCTGATCCCCCGCTAGAAGTGGGGGACGAACTGTCTTCGTCTTCTTCCTTTTTTTTCTCTCAGAGAAATGCAACAATTATCTCCGGGTGCCGTCTTGGGCAGTGGAGTCCTATTCTACCGATATCTGCCGCCTTGGGGAGTCTGTACTTTAGGGTAGTGGTAGTCTCCGCTCGTATGAAGCGTGGGAAGGGTACCGTCTGCGATGTGATTATAGCGTCGGAACTTTGCTGTCGTCTGAGTGATTTGTACGTGAACTTGTCTATCACTTAATATCCCGACGGCAGCTGACAGCATCTTCTTTTTGGGACGTCCTGTAAGGGGATGGGCATACGTGCGCGAACAGATCATGCACCTTCGCGATTACACGTCCAGGTACACGCTCCTAATATCGGCAACAACCATTTCAGCCTTGACGAATGTCTGTTAACGGTGTCGGTCTTTGTGTACTTCGAGTCCGGCATGTCTTTCTGCACGTAAGTGCGCAGGCGTTTTTTTTTTTTTTTTTTCTTTTTTTTTTCTTTCTTTCTTCTTCTTTCTGACTGGTAATGAATATTTTCTACGGCAGCCTACATTGCCTCTCATCCGAAGTTTCGAAAACAGATGCGTAGGATGAGACGTAGATGGTGGACCTGTCCTCGTTGCCGTCCAGGTTCATCTCGACGAGCTGAAGTGTTTGTCATAAGTTTCGAAAACAGATGCGTAGGATGACACGTCGATGGTGGGCCTGTCCTCATTGCCGTCCAGGTTCATCTCGACGAGCTGAAGTGTCTTTCATAAGTATCTCTCAAGTTTGCGAGACGAGGCAATGCACGTCCTCTTGGTTTCTGTCGACTATGGCTGGGACGGCCTTCGGGGTGGCTGCTCGATCAGTTCAAGTCTGACAGCCTATGTGACTGTTGCTTCAGATCTCTTTGTCGTAAAAATCAATGCGACGTGTATGTGCACAACAGCAGCAAGATCGTTAACTCGTCACGGATGAGTCGGTGGAACTCCGACGAAACAGTTTCTCAGAGCCCCTCGTTCGTTATCCTCAAGACCTCTCCACCTACGGTTTACGGGTTAGTTCTTTTTGACGATGTATATACAGAAATGGGGATACCAACGTCTTGATGCCGAACAAGGCCATCTGCTGTATATAGATATGTAATCTGGGATGTCCTTTTTTTTGCAGACAAGTGGTTTGTCCTGGGTGGTCTTGTCCCGTCGTTTGGCCTGTGTAGGGCTGGGGCGGTGCTTGCATGTGGGACTTGTCATCTAGGATCCGTTTTGTGTTGTTGCTTATTGCCCCCTGTTTTGTTGTATTTGTCTGTTCCCTTCCTCTCATCTTTGCCTCTTTGTCCTTTGGCTGTGTGCAAGTGGGTCGATCTGACACACGGGGGTGGGGGCAGCCGCCGCTCAACCTACATCCACGTGGACGGCCTTGTACGCAAGAGGTTCTGAACAGGGGGAGTTATAAGGAAGAAGATCCAAAAATTGAATTCATTTTTTTTGTTTTTCTTTCTTTTTCTTTTTCGCTTTTTCGCTCTGATATTCTTGTGACAATATATATATATTGTCACATGATTTCAGAGCGCCTAAGCGAGAAAACCAAAAAAACAAAAAAAATCTTAAATTCGTTTTTAATCTTCTTCCTTACAACTCCCCCTGTTCAGAACCTCTTGCGTACAAGGCCGCCCACGTGGATGTAGGTTGAGCTGCGGCTGCCCCCACCCCCGTGTGTCATATCGACCCACTTGCACACAGCGAAAAGGCAAAGAGGCAAAGAAGAGAGTATGGGAACAGCCAAATGAAACAAATAGAACAGAGGGAAACAAGACAGATCCCAGATGACAAGTCCCACATGCAAGCGGCGCCCGCTCCGTCAAAGGCCAAACAACGGGGCAAGACTACCCAGGACAAGACATAAAAAAGCGACGATCCACAGTGTGACAACCAAGAAAAAAAGAGAAGTGGGGTGTGAACCGACAGTCTGTAGAGTTTTCCATCTGGTGTGGGTGAGTGATAGTCTACTTTGATTTTGGTTAAGGTAGATTATCATTTACAGTGTAATCAGTGAGGGGATTCTGCACTGTTGAGGGTTCAGCCTCCTGATGAGTCGGTGAAACTCCGACGAAACAGTTTGTCACAGCCCCTCGTTTGTTGTCCTCTTCTCTCTCTCTGCCTACGGTTTACCGGGCAGTTCTGTTTGTGACGATATATATATATATCCTTTTTCTGGTTTTATCTCTACAGGAACTTATATATGTTTTCATTACATATGTTTTTATTAGATTTATTTTTTTTTTCAAAAGATTCTATTATAATCTAGACTGTCAGTTGGAATCATAGATTTATATATGTCTTTTCCTATATATATACGGGACAATCATCAGGTCGGTGGGCACATTAGCAGCAAGGATATTGGATCACGGTGGATTAGCGATTGGACTATGCGACCTTGCAAGCTATTTAATACGTTGGATTAGCGATTGGAAGATGTGACCTTGCAAGCTGTAGCGCATCTTTCTCCTGCGATTGGCACGGGGTATCTTTGTGCTTGATTGAAAGCTGCGGCCATGGCGCCCATTATATTAATTTTGTGCGAGACACGTGGGAATCCCGAGCCTGACCTTGGCGTTGTACCAGTGTTCATCTTTTTCCTCGTTGGATTCGGGGATCACGGTGTCGTTCTGATGATGTCTCGAGTATTCCTCGTGAATCATTTGACT